TTAATACGGCTGTGGAGCTTCTGTCATTATCAGTTATAACCATTAAGATGATCTAATAATAAATATTAGGTCAACAAGACTGAAATAAAGGAACACCACTTTTCACATGGTCTACATCAAATTGGACACCCACGATGAAATCCATCTGAATTGAAACTCGATCCATGCAAGGCTATTACTACAGATGATCTTTGGCATAGGATGCGTGCAGAGGAAACGTGCATAGGATAGGCATGTAAAGATGTTTTTCTAGTTTGCTGATGAAGCGTGGTTGACTTTTGATTTCCGTTTCAGCATTGTTGGAGAAATTCTCCCGTTCAGAAAAATGTTTAATGAAGCGTAGATTACTTTCGACCATTTTATTTTCCTTTTTTATTTGCGAACAAACAACATTGCATTTAAATATTATGATGGGCTTCAGGGCCTTAGGAGCTATTTGTGATTGATGCATGACTAAGAAAACCGATACTTGGCTCTTTTCATCTGCACGTGACGACAAATGGAAACAGGAACTAGAATCTCACCCTTGAGTTTGACTCATTCCTCAAAATTAACTTAAGCATTTCTATAAGGAAAACCTTATTCTTCGGCTCGAGTGAATGCACTGAAACCTCTCTGCAAGGGCCAATGGAGATGACAAACCATACTGGGTATGGAAAAGATAATACGTCCTTTGAAGAACTGCGATGCTCAACAGATTTTACAAGCGGTATTCATGAACATCTGATGTCTTTATCAGCGGTCAACATTTTCCTATCCATTGCTGCAGTTCTTGGGAATACTCTGATCTTCGTCGCTCTTCGGAGAGAATCTTCCCTACATCCGCCGTCGAAGCTTTTGTTTCATAATTTGGCGACAACTGATCTTTGTGTTGGCCTAGTTGCAGAACCTCTCAATGTTGCCTATTGGATGTCTCTGGTTTACGAAGACTGGGATGTTTGTAGGTTCTCAGCGATTGCATCCTTTATGGCAGGCTACGTGTTGGCGTCGGTATCTATATTGACGTTGACTGCGATAAGTGTGGACAGGCTTCTCGCTCTCTTACTGGGGCTAAGGTATAAACAGGTTGTAACATTAAAGCGAACATATGCAGTTGTAACGACCTTTTGGGTAGTTTCCTGTGTCGTTGCGCTATTGTACCTCGCAAGCCACCGTATTACCGTCTGGTATGGCCGTATTACTATAGTATTTTGTCTTACGATCACAGCCGTCTCGTACACTTACATTTTCCTCAAGCTTCGTCGCCGTCAAACTGAAGTTTATAAACGTGTGCAGCAAGAACATCTAAAGTTAACCGTCCCACTTGACATTGTGCGATACAGAAAAGCAGTGCATAGTGCAGTGTGGGTTCAGCTTTCAATGGTTCTCTGTTATCTTCCATATCTTGTTGTGATGGCCTTACGAAGTAACATAACAATGTCTTCATCGTATTTTCTGGCTTGGGCAGCATCAGTTTCATTAGTGTATTTAAACTCATCACTTAACCCATTTCTTTATTGCTGGAAGATTGCTGAAGTGAGACAAGTAGTAAAAGAGACAATTCGCCCAGCGCTTTGTTGCGTTTGCAGTTTTATCAATGTCGATTAATTAAAAAGCACTCATCTTAACAAATTTTAGGGATATGAACAATCAAGATTGCAAATCATTTCGTGTCATCTTCACTGATCACTAAGTTTGTGCACGAACTATACATTTAAGACTAGAAAAAACGGGATTTTTTTCGTTCCACAAATCATAAATAAAATTTTTAATGTAATTTTTCAGGGGATGCTTTTTAAAGAGTTCTGCTTTTCTTCTAAGTCATCTAAACTGAGCAAGCATTATGGCTACTGTCATTTCTTTAAAACTTTGAAAAGGATCAATAAAAATGTGCTTATCATTAAACGTTCTGGAGTCTACTGCGGAAAGGTCTTGAGATGAAATTGATTAAGGCATCTGCCAAGTTTATCCAATAACCCTTTACACTCTAATATCAGTATGCATATTCTCCATACAGTTCTCTATAGGCATGGTGCTGACTTGAAGAATTTGTTTAACAATCAAGAGCTTCTTTAGTTGGTGATCATTCCCTTTATTCATATAACCTTCATGTGTGGTTTGGGGATGATACTGTGAAGATAAACAACATACTAGTCACTCTTATGGGTCAAAGAGTAAATAGTTCGCTTGAAAGCAAGAGAGCGGAACCAGCTTGTTGTGCTTTTGCTGTCCTCACTCATCCTTGTTGCTGAAATGATGCAAATGAATTAAAATTATTTAGATTTAAATTATTTGTGCTCGATTTGATGGCGGATATTGGGAAAGCGATCAATTTAACCCTCTACAGTCACATTGCATTTCATTTCAACTACATTGTCTCTCTCTGGTTCATTATATTTCCACTAGAAGTAACAAGAAAAAAATATTATTCGTACTTACTGAGAGATAAAATGAGCGGAAAACATGTCTTAAGATTTTTTTCTCTTCATTTTATCATTAAACGATTTGCTGAAAAGAAAATATGGCGAGCAGTGCATTTTCTTTTACAGTACATAGGTCTACATACAATCATCATGACTCACAAATCAGACACAAAATCAAAAGGTTCTTCATCTCGACTTTCTTGTTCTGTGTCTTTTAAAACTATTCAACTTGGACCTTTTTGTTTTGTTGGAATATAAACGAGAAGTTATTTCGTTCCTTTGATCAACAGTGACATGGCGATAAGTCAACGTTTGCTTACAGATCATCGTCTTCAACTCGGGTAAGTCACGCGATCTGTTGCTTAAATCGATCTCACTGGAGTGTCTCCTTCTCACAGCACGAAAATATGACCATGCATAGTTGTCTGTCTGTTTTCGTTTGGGCAGTGAGGGAAGGTTTTAACTGAACCAATTTTGCTCAGTTGTCGAGGCGTTTCTAATTCGAAAAGATGATTACTTTGTAGATTTAAACGCCGGAAAGACTGAAGACACCATCCATCAACATGCAATCATCATGGCTCACAAATCAGACACAAAATCAAAAGGTTCTTCATCTTGACTTTCTTGTTCTGCGTCTTTTAAAACTATTCAACTTGGACCTTTTTGTTTTGTTTGAATATGAACGAGGAGTTATTTCGTTCCTTTGATCAACAGGGACATGGCAATAAGTCAAAGTTTGCTTACAGATCATCGTCTTCAACTCGGGTAAGTCACGCGATCTGTTGCTTATGTCGAAATCACTGGGGTGTGTCCTTACAGCACGAAAATATGACCGAATACATATAAAAAGGAAAAAAAGGGAACGAGAAAGAGAATTAATGTTTTAATCGGTTAAGATTAAGAAGTTAAGATCTTTTTGAGGTCTGGGGGAAGGGGGAGGGGGAGAAACCTCAGTAAAATTGCAATTGAAAATTTCCTAGAAATACCAGAATTTAAGGAGAACTCCACGCTGCTGGTCTCGTCATGTGCCCCTACATATATATATATATATATATATATATATATTACGTATTACTATATATAGTGCAATACTGCAATGTTATTTGTTCGCAAATAAAAAAGGAAAATAAAATGGTCGAAAGTAATCTACGCTTCATTAAACATTTTCTGAACGGGAGAGTTTCTCCAACAATGCTGAAACGGAAATCAAAAGTCAACCACGCTTCATCAGCAAACTAGAAAAACGTCTATACATGCCTATCCTATGCACGTTTCCTCTGCACGCATCCAATGCCAAAGATCATCTGTATTAATAGCCTTGCATGGATCTAGTTTCAATTCAGATGGATTTCATTCTGGGTGTCCAATTTGATGTAGACCATGTGAAAATCGGTGTTCCTTTATTTCAGCCTTGTTGACCTAATATTAATTATTAGATCATCTAGTGGTTATAACTGATAATGACGGAAGCTCCACAGCCGTATCAAAGGTAATGATTTCAGTTCCAGACGTTTTCAATTCTTGTTTGTTAAGTACATGTCTCGATTCTATTGTACGAGTTTGACTTCAGTGATCGTTTCACTGAAATCCACCAAACTCTAAATTTTTCATCGAACACTGCAATATTTGCGTTCGTGACATAAAAGGAAAACAAAACATGTGTCGAAATATGCTTAACTATGATAACGTCGGTTGGGAAACTGCTTGAGCTTTAGTTCGACGTAATAACTCAAACAATAGTTTACGTTGAGAGTCAGCTCCATTTAAGCAGAAAGAAATAAAAGAAAAAAAAAAAGAGAGGCTTCCTGTACTTCCTCTATACTGGTACAAATGTAATTAAAAATAAAAAAAATTTCAAAACTATTGTTTGATTTTTCTATGCCACTTTTAGCGGAGAGTCCGAATAAAATGTGAAGACATTTCTATTTACCGGCTTCAGAGAACTTACGATCAGTGATTAAAAGAAACAATCTCCTGGCTTTGCACACCCCGTAAAGATACGTGAAAAGTACCTTTGATTTTGTACATTTATATTTTGGAGAGCGGGTTTGTTTCTCGAGAGATTGTGATCGCCTTAAGCAGCTCTATTATCGTTGTGTTTGCTTTCAGTATATTGAGTGGCTCGCACTCCTCAAGATTTCATCAACAAAATGTTTTTTTATCCAGTCATGAAGTCGTTCGATAAGAAATCAAGGAAAGGAATTAATTTTTAGTAATCCCTCCGGATGAAGCATAACTTTGGGACAAAATTCTTTCAAAGGTTTGATTATTTGTATACATAACAGCAATTCGTCAAATACTTCAGTTTCATTTTCGTGTCTTGTAAAGTTCGTTGTTACCATTTCTTAGGGTCGATGCAACTGTTTGTCGAGTGGCAGATGTCGATGAATTATATTATGGCAGATGAATTATATTATGCAGGAGCGAAAGGCTTCCTTGCTCAACTTATGAAGGCTCAGTAGACAGGCAGTGAGAGCGTGGCAGTGATTTTGATCAGCTTTTGTTTGGAGCTGGTAGTGAAAGCAAATGTGAGTAGCGGTAGTACTTCTTGGTAGCATCAGAAATAAGAAGGAAAATGTTTGCGTAAAAGTAGCCTGATTACAAGTTGTAATTTATGTTTTTAATTTTTTACGACGTCTTGTTTTAATTGCATGACGTGTCTGTGTTTTTGTGAATTTATTGAGGAGGTTTAAAGTCCCCTTAAATAATGTGATACTTAAGGGTGAGTTTTTGTGATCTCAATATCTTCAACGGTTTTCTTACTGCACACATAAATTCTCTCTCCTTCATAAATATAAAATACACTTGACTCACGTACAATATTTACAAAATATTTACATCAAATAACTTTGGATATATATATATAGATATATATATATAACTCGCTTACATCCTATTAAGTTTCATTTATAAAACTTCTCTCAGAGTATACCACATCTACTAAGCACTTTGAGTTCAATCGCTCCGATTCCTGGCAAGTGCGCAGGATCCGTTCGCGCCAAATCTTAGGATAGGTCAAGGCTTTGTTGTCTTGAAAACAACCTGATGGAAATTCGTCAAGCTCCAAGTCTCAAATCTCGCTGCATTCTCTGGCTTAGATCTCCGCGTGAATATAAAATTTACCTAACATAAAAAGGTCTTTAGTCTTGATGGATACACTGATGGTATGAAAGTGAAGGAAACATAAAGTTCCCTTAGAGGTCCATTGTGTTTCGTTACGTGATTCACTGAACCAGTCAGTAGATGATGAAGCTGTGTCGTGGTCTATGGTATTTCGAGGACGTCTGTTGTCCCTGAACAGCTGAAAGAAGGCAAAGTATCCCATTCGACGGAGCTTTGTTAACCTCTGGTTAGAACTATCTCTTGTGACCTTGGACAATATGTGGAAATCTGGACACTACTGGTTCCTGATGACGAAAAACAGAGTTCATTCGCGACGAGATATATATATGTAGGGACACACGACGAGACCAGCAGCGTAGCGTTCCCCTTAAATTCTGGCATTTCAAAGAAAATTTTTAAATTGCAATTACTGAGGTTTCTTCCCCCTCCCTCCCCCCAACCCCAAAAAGAAGACCTGGGGACCCATTTTGATCAATTAAAACATTAATTCTCTGTCTCGTTCCCTTTTTTTTCCTTTATGTATGTATTTGGTCATATTTTCGTGCTGTGAGAAGGAGACACTCCAGTGAGATCGATTTAAGCAACAGATCGCGTGACTTACCCGAGTTGAAGACGATGATCTGTAAGCAAACGTTGACTTATTGCCATGTCCCTGTTGATCAAAGGAACGAAATAACTTCTCGTTCATATTCAAACAAAAAAAAAGGTCCAAGTTGAATAGTTTTAAAATACGCAGAACAAGAAAGTCAAGATGAAGAACCTTTTGATTTTGTGTCTGATTTGTGAGCCATGATGATTGCATGTTGATGGCTGGTGTCTTCAGTCTTTCCGGTGTTTCAATCTACAAAGTAATCATTTTTTCGAATTAGAAACGCCTTGACAACTGAGCAAAATTGATTCAGTTAAAACTTTCCCTCACTGTCCTCAGGAAAAAAGACGGAAAACTATGCAGTAGTCTGTCAGAAAAACAAAAAGACGCTTACTATCGGTCAGGCAGCCGTGAGACACTAAAAGTGAGCAAGAGATTATAAACTTTATAGTCTTTATATTCTCTTGAAGTGAGTGAACACCAAACGAGGGGATAGGTGTGAGCAACTGATTAACTGTTGACGAATAACTCACACACAACCTAACGAAGTGACAAAGCGGATGCCTGAACGACAAACCAACTAAATGCTCCGCTGACTTACAAAATTAAATAACTTTGGTAGAAAAATGGCCTCAGTTAATAGCTGATATCAAAACCAACCTGGTGACACACGTACATGTAGACGGAGTCCGCTGATAACTTTCGTTCAAGCTCCCAGTATTTTTATCTCGGTTTTCCTCGGTCTCCTCTCTCTTCATAAACCATCACTCCAATTCGACATCAAATCAGAGGACAGAGAACCACTCCGTGGATTTGCCTCCACTAAATTCTAGTTATTTCCTAACTTTCTACAATAAGCTATAGTACATCATCACATAGCTCACCCTGTAAACCGGAAGAGCCCTGTACACTGCCCCAGTATCCGGTGATCCTGACCTCGTACTCTCCAGATGAGAGTTGTAATGCTAAAACAAAGCAAGTAAGAAATTTTCTTGAGAATAAGATGAGACCTTTGTCACAATAAAAATCACTATTAGGAAGATAAGACGTTACACTACCGAGGATACTGGACAGAAATAAGCTCTTCAAGTTCTCTTACGTTAAGTTTATAATCATGTACAACTTTTAAACGAGCTGACAAGAAAAGTATGCAAATTGATGATGGGTATTGTAGAGGGGTTATGTGAAAACAACTTGGACAGTCTAAAATGTTACTTTTACCTTTGGTTTTGATAGAGAGTCGAAGAATTTCTTGTTTTCACCAGTGGGTTTAGTCTCCTTCTGAGCCGAATGACGGAACGGTAACCATCTGTAAAAGGAAAGAGGGAGGTGAAAGATTCACAATGTTACTCTTCGCTTACCTAGACATAAGTTGCAGTTACTGCAAATCCCCATGATGACCACTTAAGTTTAGCCTAAACTGACTTGCACATTCGCCTGAAATCATAACATGGTCGCCTTCACAATATGAATTTTGGTGGCTGGAATTTTTAAAAGACTTCCACAGCGGTGTAGTGACTGCTCTCACTCACTCACTTATCTCCCATTCCCCCGAGGGGAAACGACTTCTAAACAGGATATTGTTCTGTGGACGGAGTGAGCGTTTCTCTCAATACGGAAGTTGTGTTTTATCAACTCATTTGATAATGTAAATTAAAGCTGACGATAATTTAAATTAAAGCTAACGCTCGAAACTCTTTACGGTGACCATTTTACATTATCACCTCAGTAAATAAACCAAATTATCTTGTAGTTTCCCAAGATCATCGTTTTGACCGTGCACAGAATCACGGCGCTTAGCATGGCTAGCTCAGCTGTTTTCGCTCTTAGGCTCAACGCTATTAAAACAGTGAAATGATGTGGTACCTTGTGTCATCGAACATCAACGGGCAGTCCACAGTACTATCTGTTGCCTTGGTAACAGTCTTGGTAGCTACGTTTTTTAGTGTTTTTATCGGACCCTGTGATGAAATGACATGATACATCAGGAACTCGTTTTCCATCTTTGAAGAAAAAGTCTAATTGTCTTATTAGACAAGGAATAATATGCAAGCTTATTATTTGTAGTTAGCTGGTGCTTCATGCTTGGAATCATGCATGAAAGTTGGCGGTCAGATCACTTTATTTCGCCACGTCCTCGTTGCCGTCGTCGACATGTTTTGCTTAAGATCCTTATTAACTCTATAGAAGCAAATAATTGTAGCTTTCATTGACATATCGACTCTGCACCATACAGCAGACCATCAATGCTTTAAACTCAGGCAGAGTTTGAATTTTATAATAATTCGAATGATAGCAGAAATTAAACTCACTTCGTAACAATGACTCAATCACTCACCTAAAGGAGTAACTTTGTCTTCAAAAGGAAAATACTTTAAATTAAATTTCACTGTCCATGATTACAAATAGCAGGATGAAAATATCAGGGTTGTTTTTATTTTTAATGGTGGTGTACTATGTGAGCTACACGAGACTTACCTCTGAGATGTCATACGGTCTGACAGGAGTGGAGGGAACAGATTTAAAAGACGGCATATGCCACAGACGAGGCTGGCTAAAAAACCCGATGAAGTGACCGGTATCACGGTACCACACCCTTGGAACAGAAATAAGGAGAACATAATTCAGTCGTACATAATCATCACCCATTACACAAAACAGAAAAACTGAGTGCTCAGGTTTTTCCTAGTTGGATAAAGCTATCTCCTAAAGTCTACATAGGTGTTATGTGGATAGTGTTCTTCTAAAACTGGATTTCAAAGCAAGCGTTGTCTCGACTCTGGATGAATGGTTCGCATAATTACCTCATGATCGAAAAGGGGATGTGGCAAAGGCCAAGAGAACTCTTGCCGTGAGCGTGTTTTGAAGAGCTACGTTTTTAGCCGTTAAAGCTGCATGGTTTCTCCAATTTAGAGAACATTTCAAACAGCGTTCATTCCGATGACCCAAAACGCCGTTCTACTACGTGTGGAAGGAAAGGCCAGCCCAGGAGAAAAAAGATATTTTTAAAGGCAAATTATGCCGAAGAGTTTTCGCCTTGAATCTCAGAAAGTCCGAGGAAACTCGCACTTAATTATTAGCTTGTGGTAAGTAACCACGCATCGTCTGAGAATAAGGCCAAACTTACCTAACGGAGACCTTAGAGATACCATAACACACTACTAGTAGTAAATGTTTACATGAAAGTCAGAATTCTTTGTTAAGTTATTGGTCCATTAAGGACTGTTTCTTTGGCTGGCTCAAGTGATTCAAGTTACCTGACAGAACAATCCGTTGATGCAGACACGATTACGTCAACGCTTTGCACGTGCTCTAGTCCAACAACACGAGTGAGGTGCCCTCGCCAACAAACAACTTGCTTGATCACATTCTGCAATAAACACATAAAGACGTTACCACTTATGCAAGGGTGAGTTATCGAACTTGGCGTGAGGTGATGCCACAGATTGTCACTTTAAAAAGCCAATTGTTTGCCATTATAACGGCTACAATTTACATTTAATTTTCCCGTAAATACACCAATGAACCTCTTCACTTAATTGTAAATGAGAGAAATTATCCACTCAAGAATTAACTACTCCACAGCTGACGTTGTGCCTGGGATACGCAAGAGCTTTTTCATTACAAGAAATTATCCCTTTCCTTCGTTGACACGCACAATCAGCGGTTTTACAAATACTTCTTGTATCCTTCATTAACCTATTAACTTAACATAAAATGGGAACAATGTCAAATGACAACGAAATCTAGAAACTTTCCGCCTTTATCCTACCCCCAAGATAAATGAACAGAAGACAATGGAACGATTATAGGGAAAGAATCAAAGCTTATAGGCGGGGTTTAAAAGCATAAATTAATTGTCTCACAGATTAAAATGAGGTGAGCGTGTGAGTGAGTGAATTTTAGGTCCATACCTTAACTTCTCCGTATATGGCTTCTCTGTATATGGCTCTGTTCTGTTATAAAGCACGCAGGAGACGGCTAGAGCACGAAAGAAGTGTAGGGAGAAACACGAGACGTAGTCGAGCGTTTCTCCCAACTTCTTGAGTGCTCTAGCCGCTTCCTAAGTGCTTTATAACAGAACAGAGCACAGTCAAGGCTTCTCTATTTGTTTTATAATTAAGAATCCATTAAATTCCCCGAGCATTATATTTAATTTTCAAAACAAACTTTATTTCCAAAGCGAACAACAGTATCGTCAGCATGCTCTATACTCTCATAAAGCACGCTACAATAAGCCAATCAGAATCCCTGTTAGAATGGTTCAAATAATCTGATTGGCTGTACAAGACTAAAGCTGTCAAAAGTGTCAAACCATCAAAGTTAAAAAACCATCACAGTTCACCTTCTGAGATAGTTTACAAACTAAAATAGTTCGGTAGGTCGAATTTAACACTTTTGCCTGAAGTTTTTAAGTCTCTAATACAGAATCTTGAAGTGAAATGTTCAGTGAACTTCAGCCGAATTATGGCTCATAAAAACACGCGAGTTTTTTCACAAGACAAGGTAGAAAACAAACTGTTCAGGGCGAGTGTTTTTTGAATGAACGACTGCCGAATTCACCGGAACATGAAGATCGCTCGGGATGACCGCGCCGCAAAACTCGGCTGCAGTGACAGATGTGACTTTCCACTCAACGCATCGGAAAGGATATCAGAGCAAGCTCTTATTTTTTCACTCGAAGGGCGGCCGATGTAGTTTCTGAGGCTTGCTGTGATGACCGGAGAACGTCATGATGAGCGAGCCGCGATGGACTTCAGTATGATCATATTCGCTCAGACACCGTCATGATTAGAATGAATTTTAACAGTTATGCCAGTTTGGTTATATTTTTCATCATTTCTGTTTTGTTCTGTTTTGTTTTTGAACACTGAACTTTATATACTATATGAGTGTTGGCTGTGTTTGATTTTTATTTCCGTACGTAAGCTTGAAATCTAACTGAGCGTGAATCAATCTTTAAAACCTGGAATGTCTATTTTGTTTTTCCTTTGAGGATTTTCGTATCTGCTGACGTTTTAATAACGTAAATTACGACGCCTGGTATGTTTACAACCCTTTATTTGGTTCTTCTGTTGCTACTTGCCGGCTCGCTTGTTCCGAAATTTCACTTTCAATTATCGGAAAAAAGCTAAAAGGAAGTCCCGGAAAAGGTCGAACATAGTACAGTTTGGCAGATGGCGTGACAGCTTTAGCTCAGCTCTATGCTCTATACTCTCATAGAACACGCTCTTTCAAGCAATGACAGCGCGCGTTATATCCGAACTTTATTATAAAACAGAATGGTCGATAGTCTAATGAAAAGGGAGGACAAATTGCACAAATAAAAATTTGCAGAGACAATGTTTTTTGGCAGTTTACCTTGGGCTCTTTCTTTGTGTCGTCCTTGTTACTTTCCTGGTCATCTTCACGTTGCTGTTGTTGATCACCGTCACTTCCCTCGGATGAAGGATCCAAAAGAAAATTGCCGACATCCCACACGGTGATGTAACCCCCTTCAGGACAAAATCATGCATCAGCGTGTTATGCAACTTAGTACAGTGAATAAAAGGGGTAAGTTTCCAGAGAAACTGAGGTGCCATGTCGGTGGGAGAGTATAACAGGGTAATTTAGCATTATCAACCGAGTTGATAATGGCCCGATTTATACTAGAGACGGATCATCCGTCTAGACGGATCATCCGTCATACGGATAATCCGTCCAAGTATAAATCCGAAGACGAATTTTGACGAATAATCTGTCTAGATATAAATCGTTTGCGAGTTTCACGACGGGTGTCTCGGTGTTGAGCCGAGTGGAAGCCTGGCGAGAGCTTAAATATGGCGGCTCTCGTAGCCTTGTTGATGAAATCGAGAAGAACAGCATTGGATATGGCGGTATATCAGAGAAGAATATCCTCTGTCAAGCGCATGTTTGAGCCGGAAAATAGCTTAATGAACTTCATGTTACCCTTTCCTCTCGCTAATCTTGCTCAAGATAGGAAGACAAGAAGTAGAGATGAGATAAGAAACAAGAAATGGTGGGAGGACGGCCTTCAAAACTGGTCGGAGTGATTGCTTTCGAGGGCACGATTACTTTACCGGACGCCATCTTGAAATAGGCATCCCAGGAAACCTTGCAAAACTATAGAAACCAGTCTCTCTCATATGGAAACTTCGTCAAAAACCGTCTTCGTTTTCCGTCTAGATAAAAATTTAGAGACGGATGATCCGTCTAAGACGACCTATCCGTCTGTTAGCACGTCTTGAAGACGTGCTGACAGACGGATCAGCCTGAGACGAATTTTGCTCCATAATTCGTCTTAGTTCCGAATTTATATTTAGACGAGTTATCTGTCTGAGACGGATGATTCGTCTCTGACGGATTACTCGTCTCTAGTATAAACTCGGTCAATGTAAATTGACATCCGCAGAGTTTCAAAGCTGATGTTTCGAACGTTAGCCCTTCATCAGAGTGTAAGGGCTCTGACGAGGGGCTAATGCTTTGAAACTCTTTACGGTGGCCAATTTACGTTATCAACTCAGTTGATAATACTAAACAACTCAGTACAGTGATTGCCAGGTAAAACTCGGTGGAAATGATGAGAATACAGGGACATCACCACCCTTTATTCTTTGGAGGACGAAATTTGATTTTGTTATAATATGAAGTACGTTTGATGAATAGATCTCAAAATTTTCTGGACGCCCCCGCTGCTCGTTTTCAGACCCCCCATTCCTTTGAAGTCAGGTTCTACTGCCTATAAAAGTCGGAAGAAAAGTCAGCTATGGGGGGGAAAAAACATCTAAAGCATTTGACTTTTCGTATGCTTCCACATACCCTTTGAGAACATTAGAGATTATGAGGCAAAAGCTTGTAAGTGTGTTTATCACCCAAGGCCAAATCGCACTAATGAGTTGTCAGTACTTACTCGCATCTCCACTGATAACAAAGTTGCAGTCCGGATCTGTGCACATGGAAGTCACTGCCGATGCCTGTCTCCTAGTAATTGCGCGTATCTCTGATAGAAGAGTACCCTAAAGCAAACAAGCGCATCCTGATCAGTATTCCTTATAACAAAGACTAAAACCTAACTCCTCCAGGCGTAAGTCATTCATTATCAGTCATAATAGCTGATAAGAGCATGGATTTGTCGTCCGATTAACTATATTCAAGAATGAAAATTAATGGATATCCTCTTCGTACTAAGGGCTACTGCCAACCAGAAAATGCGAACTTATAACCTTGCTCTGAGTCAAAGTCGTGATGAAGAGAAATCGTGAGAAGGATGTTTATGGATTTGATGGT